GACACCCCTACAGACACGTCGAGCCTCCAGAACCAGGACCAGACACCCCTAAAGACACGTTGAGCCTCCAGAACCAGGACCAGACACCCCTACAGACACGTCGAGCCTCCAGAACCAGGACCGGACACCCCTACAGACACACCAGCCCAAGAGAACCAGGACTGGTCACCAAGCAGACCAGAACTGGATACCAAAGGAGTAGAGGTTAATTCTGAGCATCTCTGAGGGGAATCCACTGGTTCTTCCCACATCCGCAGGGGTTCCCTCAGGGCAATCCCTCCCAGGAGTATGTTTTCTGATAAAGGTTAGACTGATGGTGCCTTAGAAGTTGAACTGCACCCATCTGAAACCACACTGCTTCTCTTGTATGCGGCGTGGGCCTTTGTGCAATGAACACTGTATAATACCCACAAAACAGCTCCACTGTTTGTTGAAAGACTAGGTAGTGGTTCACTAGGTATGCAAAGGGAAGGACGTTTTAAGTCTACAGCTAAAGCTCTGCACGTGGGCTTCAACTCTGTGCATACTGCACCCTAATCGAGAGGTCGATTACCCTGTGCACACAGTGAACACTCCCCAGCTCTTGACTACCATATCAGTACAGTCCCTGAAAATGAAACAACCCGTGACGCTCTCAGGCAAACACTTCCACTGCTGGAAGAGCACGGGAGGACTATTTGCAGTTCACCCAGGGAGTCACAAACTGACTGTGCTAACCGCTGCCTATAAAAGACACGACGTTCAAAACTTAGATCCCCCCTCTGTACATCTTTTGTTTGCTTACTCAGGAGTGAGAGATGCTAACCCCATAATATAAGGGATACATGTTGCATATTCTGTTGGCTCCTGGGTGTTCCCGTCCCAGCTGTACAAGTATTATTGCTGCCACACACCTCTCAGGTCACACACACACACACACACACACACTTCCATCCCCCTGCTTTCGACAGACCCCTGCCAAAGGCAAGGTGGGCCCACAGTGACTCGATGAGGGAGGCTGAGCTGAACAGGGCTGCCCCCTTCATGGCCTTGTTTTTTTAATGAAGTGGACGCGCCCGCTCCCACTCCACAGTCTCACTAAAACGTGCAGCGTTCTCCACGGGGAGGGAGATGAAGTCTGTCTCAAGCTGGACAGGACGAGGGTCCTCTTTGCCCCCATAAACCCATGTGGCCGGCTTCAGCCCTCCAGGAGACGGCCGCCTTATTCCTCGGGGTAAAGAGTGTGCTTCCACGGAGCCGAAGGGTGACGCAAACTGCTCCGACAACAGCAGGAGAGGAACATCACTGCTACCCCGGCCGCTAACAGTCTAACTCTTGAACGCCAGAATCTTAGCATTAAACATAGTTTAAGAGGGGAGTACGTGTGCCTCTGGACCACACAGCTCCCAGTGTGCTCCAAGCACAGCCAGCTTGTTTATTCCCCAGTGGACACTCTGCCCCAGGAGACCTACCTTCTTTCTTGTGGCCATCCCTGGAGCCAGCAGTGCTCGGCGGCAGCACTCCGTTGTCCGTGACGGACCTGTAGTTGGCATCGGACCGGGAACGGCTGTGCCCGCGCTGGAAGGCGCTGGCGCCCGGGTCCTTGGTGTGCGCGGCCAGGTCGTTGGTAGAGCGCGCGCGGCTCCTCTTCCCCTGACACATGCCGAAGATGCTGAAGGAGGGCGCCCCCTTGTGGTCGGCCCACTCCGGGTTGTTGGTGTCGCCCTCCTGCCCCCGGCCCAGCTGCTCCTTGGCCAGCAGCCCCCAGAGCGCTCCTCCAGCCCCGTGGATGGTGCCATTGCTCCGGGGAAGGTTGTTCAGAAAGCCCTCCCGCCCCTCCAGTTCAGAGACCCCCGTCATCCCATAATCCCCCGGCTGCTGGGGCCTGTTCTCCACAGGGCTGTCGAAACAGCGCAGGAAGTCCTCAGTGACCTCCAGGGCTGGGCTGACATCCTCCACCTCCACACCCTCCATCTCCAAGGACCGGAGAGCTGGGAACTGCAACCAGCAGCTCCCTCTATATGGCTGTATGGAGGGAGGGAAGTCTCAGCATCTGCTGTTTACGCAGCCAAGAGTGCGCAGGGCACTGCGGAAGCACCAGTACTCAATGGTGCAAGATCTCAGCAAGGTGAGAAATTCTGCAGTAATATTTTTTGTCCTTAAATGCTGGCAGCAGCTTGAGCCTATTCTTCAGTGTGTTCAAGATGGAAGGCAGTTTTGCTCAGGTTGCTGGGGTCTTATGGCCTGGCCACTTCATCGTACTATGAGCCGGTAAGCACATGCTCTCCTGATGAGGATACGCCAGCAATGGATTTGTAAAATCGGAGTGATCCCGAGCCAGACTGAAATGTGCTCCCCAATCCCCGACAACTCACTGGCACCCTAAACTGGATCTCGGCACATCACATCACAGTGAGGACCTCGCTGGCGTCGCCCATTGATGGGGTGCGACTGGATTAAGCAGCTGGACAGCGTACGCTCAGTAGGCTGCTCCCGGGAAGGGCGAGTGAGGAGATGGAGAGCAGAAAGGATCCTGCAGAAACGAGGACAAAAAACAAACACATTTAAAGTTATCACTTAAACAATCATGGTTTCAAACAAACCCCGAAGAGCTCATTTTCCCTGTAGGTATCAACATTCCCCCCCCAGCCGCCTCCTACTGTCTATGACACTTCTAGGGAAGTTTTCGGTCTCTGAATTTGCCAGGCGGCAAGAGAGCACAGATAATGTATGTGCATCATTTAAAACAAAAAAATGACTTGAGAAGGACTACGCGTTTATGGATTATCCATTCAGTTAATGGAATTCACTGTACCAAAAAATAAGGAATTGCAAAAGCACAGCTAAAAGAATTCCCTTCATTGTCAATGGTTTTCCCAGCACTCCTGGTAACTGAGCCTCTGTGTTGGCAGGTTTCCACTGCTACAGCAAGCCTGCCTCAGGGAAACCATAACCCCTCAGGCTGGTCAGAATGGGATCTTCAGAGCTAGTGGAACGAAAACGAATACAAACGGTTAAAAAGAGACACACCTATGATGATGTTAAGTCCTCCCTAAAGGATACCCTACTTTTAAAGGCATGATGGACATTTAATGGCATAAAATATCATTACTTACATCGCAGTTTCTCTAGTTGTTTTCAAACTCTATCTTTTAACAAAACGTGCGTTCTGCATCGCAATGCAGACCGATTAATAAGTACACACGCAGTACCAAGAGTCTAGGCTAGATGTTCTGTCTGAACGCAAGCATCCAGTGAACTGAGCCACAGCCTGTGAGGCTCAGTGCTGACGGCACCTAACGGCACGTCCCACAGAGCACAGACAGCACCGAGGCTCTGCTGGCACACAGACAGCTGTAGGGGGACTCCCTGCCCATCCTGAACTGCTGCAACACGGCCTCAGTGACAGCCCATTGATTTGCTCACAGCATCCAGGCTGCAGGTCTCTCGCCACCTTCGGTCGATGAATAATTCAGTGTGCATTACGTAAGGGCCAGCCAATCCCGGATCGGCAGCTATATCAGCTTACAAAAAAAAGGGCTCGGGCACGTCCAGGAATCCATGATGGGCTCACAGGCCAGAGCCTGACATCACAGTTTCAAAAACAGCAAGAGGCTGTTGGCCACAACCTGTCATCACAGAGGCCGTTTTGAAAGCCTATTCAAAATTCAGATTTGAATGGGCCTCCCCATTTTCCTGAATTAATTTTCATTCCAGAAGATTTTTAAGGATGCGTTACAGGAAAGCTCATCCGTCAACGTGCAGAGCACTTTACAGTACCTAGGAGGCAGTAAAACAGGGGTGCAATCACAGCAACCTTCACCAAGTGTCACTTTTTCTCCCGCATTGCCCTTTACACCCTCTCTTCACAAACACAAGCCCTCCTTCAGACCCAATCAGAATTATTCTGTCCTGTGCAGTTTTCTGGATGCGCAACAAACTAGGACACAGCCAAGAGGACTGTTCAGCCTTGACACCTGCAGCTTTACACCCAACACTGCAGGTTTGACCGGCTGTATGGCAGCCAGGACATTTTATCTGTGTTAATTTACTTAGAACTGCAGAGCTGGTCTGATGGCTAACTGAAAAGTTTTTAATGCGATATGGCTTCTTGGTAGAAGAGCCTGCGTGCAGCAAACGGAGAGGATAAAACTGCTGTCTGCTTTAGTTTCCTGTGGCTGGCCCAGAAGTGGGAAATTTATTTAAGAGGACAGCAGACAAGCTAGGCTTTCCTCAGGGTGGGTATTCGCTGAAGCTGGAGGAAGCTGTCAGTACACATCTGTCACAAAGCGCCAACGGTTGCCAAGACACCAGCTGAGAACTGCATCATGTCTGCTGTTCCACAGTGGGACACCTTTTACACACAAATGTCTCCTGACCACATATAAACAGTTCGTTTGCAGTCTTTAAAAATCTCCATAAGATAAAAAAGATCTTCCTGTTTAGTGAATGTTATACTCCAGTGCTGCATAAATCCTAACCTTTCTGCTTATCAGGGGCTGATAAATCAATGCCTTATAGACCACATCTTACTCAGAAGAGACTCAGACAAGTCTGCACTTCCAACCACAGATATGCACCTCACTTTCTGGGTTTCAAGATTGAAGAAAATTCAAGTAAGTTATTGTCCTTCCTGTGCTTAATTTCCTTTGTATAATATCATACTAATTGGTGGAGATGCTGGACCATTCCTTTCTGCTTGTACAAAGAAAACAGGTATTTTAGCACTTCAACACAGAAACCTCTTGGCATTTTATTGTTGAGCTCTTGCTACTACAACCTGCACAAGATAGAACTGAAAAACTGGAAAAGATGTTTTAAGACAGCACTAATGCAATCTGTAGCCTGTTACATCAAACTAAATACAACAATCATGTGCATGCCCATCTCCCAGCTGAAGCAAGACCGCGCAAGTTCAAAATGTAGAAAAAAAGGTATGCAGCACAGGGAACGAATAAGACTCCCATTGCACAGCAGTATGATCCATGTCAGCTTTTACAACAGGATGATTCCCTGGGGACCTCCCAGAAACAGCTAGCCCAGAACTACGGATAAATATTAAATTAAGTTTCATTTGTATAGCGCTTTTCACAATGGACACTGTCACAAAGCAGCTTTACAGATTTCCGGGCCTGAACCCCCAGTGAGCAAGCCCAAGGCGACAGTTGCAAGGAAAAACTCCCTCAGACTAAAACAGGAAGAAGCCTTGAGAGGACCCAAGGCTCGGAAGGGGGAAAAGTACAGTCATGTATGGTAATCAGGTATGCTCGTATCACTCAAACGAGCCAGGTGGACTGACGAGTTACAAATAAACAAGAGTCATTCTAAGGGTTAAGACGAATCTTACACGTACTGTTTTGTTCTATTATCTCCAAGGCTGGAAAACCCGTTCAAAATGAGCACGATGCGTCCAGTGCTTTCAGTCAGCTTACGTACAGGTGTCTGCACCTCCATGAACGGGCTCAAACTGCCGTGTCACACCGAGTTCACATCTTTACTCTCAGCCCGAAAAAGCCCAGTTTCAAACCGTCACGCCGACACTACGCTCTGGAGAGCGGTGGAAGAAAACGGGTACAGACCGAGGAATCGCCGGACACTTCTCAGCCGAAGCCGCGGACAGCCCGTCCCACACCCTGCGACAGTTACACAAAAACAGCGTGCTCACAGTCCGTTTCCACCCGTGTTACTTAAGACGCTGTTCACAGGGTACTCTGAAGTCGCGGCTGAGGATGTACACAGATCCGGTTAAGTTGGCTATGTCTTACCTGTCATCCTGACCGAGACACACTCTCAAAACCAACAGGGCACGACACACAGAGCAGGGGCAGACCTCTACCGCTTCCCCTCCCCCGACACAAGACTGCGCTGTAACACGCAGATTTGCCCGCTTTAATATTCCCATTTCAACTTTCCATTTTCATCTCTGATATATGCAAAGCCACAACACCGGTCAGGAACGCCAAAGGTTTCTCTCGGGCATGTCGAGCCCTCAGTCAGCATCATCCGTACATAACGACCTTAAATTGGATGGAGCTTCAAAATACTTGGCTACAAAAATTGCAACGCTGAAACCGGCGTTTCAACTGTTCTCTGCTCAGGTGTTCAAGAGTTTTCCAAGTTCTGATAAGCGTTATTAATTCGCTAAATTTCATTAACCGTGACTCACCTGATTCTGTTTACAGTTTCGGTTCCGTCACACAAATCGGTCACCGGGCGCAACAAGAGCTGGCGAAGAAAGGTTCCGCTTTAAAGCTCCACCCGGTAGCGCTGAGCAGGACGATTTATGAGAGCCATCTGTCTTGCTCTTGGTAGGTGCTGACAATACTGCTGTTATACAGCCGTTAGGTCATCAATTTCTACAGGCTTGAAACAATTTCACTATGATCAATTGCTCAAGTGACAGAATAGAAAAATAAATGATCAGCCTTTGAGTTCTTGATATTTGAAAACAATGCTTCATTAGTCACTATCTTGCAAGTGTTTCCAATACTCAGAAGTATGTTGTGATTACCATTAAATTAAAAATAATTAATTAGAAATTCGACTCATGTCTTGAGATTCATGTCTCCCTTTCAAAGGAATGAGCAGACGGTAATTGTCGACTTGCTAAAATTGATAAAAGTCAGATTAACATGCTTTTGATGCTCGCAATTCTCTGGGCCACCGTTTCCATCTTCAAAGCGCTATCCTGTCTAACTCTGTCCACTGTTCCAGCCGTCTCCAGCCAACGGTATAGTGAAATTGCTTAAATTGCTCACTACAGCCAGGATTAGAGAAGACATTGTATCTGTATCAGCTGCACTGGCTCCAGTTTTAGAAAGATCTCCCCTTCCCAAGTCTGTCAGAGAACTCGAAACCATTTTTCGCGACCAGGCCCCTCTTAAGACTTTCCTGTTTGAGCCGGGATTGGATGTCTGATCTTGTACAGCACCCTGAGGTGAAATGTGCCTGAAGGCAGTATAGACATTTGTACCGGATTGTATTGTTTGAAACGTCTTTTCTGTACATCTGTCTCTGCTTGACTGCGCTGTTGTCGTGTCGCCAGAGCCTGCCCACGGACACTGGGGGACCGGGGCTGGAAACCCCACTTGAACGCTGCGTGTGATGAGCTCAGCCGCAGACGTGGGGGCCTCTTCACATGTTGCTAATTAAGACTCGGCAGAATGAGACGCACCTCCTCACCCCCCCCCCCGTCACACCTGTACTGGAGCCCTGCAACACTGGGGGGCTCTGATGTCCAGTGAGGCCGGGGCCTGGCCGAGCGGCGTGCCCATTCCAACGAGCTTCCACAGCCTTCGCTGTTCCCATCTGCCCCCTGGTTGGCAATGCTGCGTGCAGCTACCCGGAAAAAAAATGCTGCGTGCTGATTTGCTTCCTTGCCAGATTCTGTTAGCCTTTAGATTGGCTTTTCTGGGTCGCTGCCAGCTGCAGGTTCGTTCGTTCTCTGTCTAAACTCTGACCTGAGCGACGCCCCTCATCACCCTTCCCTCTGCCTCTTGTGGAACATCAGCGCCAAGGCTGTCACCTGCTGCATCCATGCTACATTGAACTGGCTTCATCACTCTGCTCTCCTCCCCACTGATTGCTGGTGTGGTTGTTATTATTATTATTATTATTATTATTATTATTATTATTATTATTATTATTACATCCATTTAGTTCACCCGAGTCTAATGTTGGCCAGGAGAGAGTTTCACGCAGCAAAGAACCGGCTGTTTCATTTGGCAGGAGTCGTCTCCCCCAGCCAGAACGTGAACCAACTGCCCTGCGGGACCAGAGGAAAACAGACGGCGATCCTCAAACAGAGGCAGGTCTGCTGGTGTCGTCTGTGCGCGTGCAGTGTGTCTACCTGACCTGTAGAGCTCACTCGGTGAACTTCAGGGCAGTTTCTAAACATGGAAACAGGGGATAGCTGTCTGTGTTCGTGCATGGCTGCCCTGGCCAGGATGGTTGATGGTGTCTTTGAGAGCTATGGGGGTCCACTTCCATTGAAAAAGTGTAGTAAGTACTGGTACCAGTGAAACAGCCCCCAGTGCTTCACACTGGAAAGCCTTGCGCTGTGTGTGAGGCAGGCTGGCCACATTTCCGCCGTGCCCTGTTGTAAATCCAGGCCCCATCAGCATCGGCCTGTTGTCCCCAGAGCGCCGGGCTTCACTCCGGCCTCCTCTGTCTCAAGCCCTCCTTCCCGCAGTCACTCTCTCACGCACACACTCACACGGCTTTCTCTCAGGCTCCTTGAGGCCCGCGCAGATAAATGCTCCGATTGTTCCCTGAAGCTGCGCGAGAGAAGAGCGCTGTGGAGCACGGCCCCCCCGAGCCCCGTCGCCATGGCCACTGCCGCCTGCGCCCCTCCCGCACACATCGCCCCCCCCACCCGGCCGCGGCCGCAGAATGCCACCCGTCCGTGGGTGTCGTATCGAGACGGTTCGGGCTGGGGGCGCTGGCGTGTCCACCCGAGCCGACAGCCCCTGGTCGCCCCCCCCCACCCGAAGAGAGACATTATTCAAGCCCCCTTTCAGGCCGGGGGAAGAGAGACAGAGCAATTATCCCCAGAGCTCAGCAGAAGCCCCCCACCACCACAGACCCCCTCGCTCATTGTCTTCGTTTGTTTAGAAAGCCGCGCTAATGAAGGAGGAGGGGCGATCGGCTAATGGCCTCAAATAAGTTCCTCTCTGGACCATTGTCCGGGGATAATGGCTTTATGAGTCCCAGCTGTAAACTTGCAGATACCATATTGTTCCTGACCTACATAGAGCCCCATGTGAGCCCCCCCGAAATGCTAATCTGTCCTGCAAACCCTCTTGTCTGCTCTGAGAGTCAATTAACAGAGTCAGTGGATAGGCCGCCATTGAACTGCTGGGGGAAAAGAGGAAGGGAAGTGTCTTTTCTAGGAAAAAAGAAGTATTACGCTGTAAAAAAAAAGGGAACCTTGATGCGTTTTTATAAAGCCAGCATTATCTTTTTTTTAAGTTATCCTTTCCAGCGGCTGCTGTTGCCAGGGTTGGGGAAGAGTCCCCAGCAGCGATGTGCACTGAGGTCCCCAGGTCAGATTCCAGCAGCACCAGGCTCCACAGAGGCTGCACGAGCGACACCATCGCAGAGCAGGGCCAAAGAGGGCCACAGAGGGCCACAGAGGGCCCAGTGTGTCCCAGGTCGGGAGCAGGAAAGAGAGAGACACGTCTTTGCACCCAGGGGTAGGAAGGTGTGCCTGAAACTGCCCCAGCACTCCACAGGCGCTGAGCCACCCGGAGGCGCTCAGGGGGGGCTGGGGATTGGGCGGTCTGAGGCTTGCTGTCCACCAGACAGGTCAGACGTGCCGGTCGGCATCACCTTATCCGTAACGATCCCCGAGGACAGGGAGCGCCGGCCGTCTCCAAGAACACCCGCTTCATGTCTTCCCTGGCGCGGCCTGCGTTCCTGTTCTTCATCACCATCGTCTTCCTCGCGCCGTGAACGGTGGGGACTCTCAGAGCCAGGGCAGGTGGGGGTGGGTGAAGCCCAGACACAAGATGGCCTGAGCAGTCAGGCCTTAACCAGGGGAGAGTCGAGCCTGTGGAAACGAGAGCCTGTTCCAACAGCCGAGTCGTGGAGCGAGGAAGGGGCCAGCTGAGGAGCTCTCTTCTTATTTTAGTCTCTCTTTCCCCCCCCCCCAGGGTTTCTGATTATACACTACCGCGCTGATTACTAAATGATTATTGTGTTTAAGGACAGCAGTCCTTTCATCTGGCCTGGGGTTTTCATGTTCTCTCCTCTTCAGCACAAAGGACCCTGCTACCTCTGTTAGTTCGCTTTTGATGAGGAGACCAATTGTTTGTCTCCATAGAAACGGCCGCGAGCCGGCTCCGATCCCGAGCAAGGTGCGGGCTCCGGGAGAAAGTTGCAGGAATGAAGACGGGGGACTTCGTCAAGGGAGCCCATCGCCTGCCAGGCGCCTCCCGGAAGAAACCGCCCGCGCCCCGCAGCACCCCGTTCCCCCCCACCCCACGGACACCTTTCCGCGGTTTTTACTCTTCCCTGTCGGACGCCTTCATCCAAGGCGACCCGCTTTCTGCAGCGTGAAAGCCGCGCCGACTCGCAGGACGTCAGCCACGCGGAGCAGCGCTGAAGAAGGCGGGTTGGCAGGGACCCCCCCGGTGCACACGGAAGAGTCAAAGTCTGGGGCACTCCTGCCCCCCTCTGGGCGCTGGGTCAGCGCTCCAGCGAGACAGAAGAAGGGCCGGTGAAACCATCACCGCAGCTCGCTCTTCCTGTCCGCGGGTCCGGCGGCTCAGTCTGCACCCCGGGGAGCTCAGGGGTCAATGCTTTAAAATGCTTTAATACGCGGAGAGTTAGATAAGGATGGCCGGCCTGTTATCACCTCGGACTTCTGTCCGAAACGCCCTTATTCACGAAGGAACCGAACAAGATTAAGTTAAGCAGAGCGGGGTTTGGACAGTCACGAATGTCAGGGAAATATTCCTGGTTCTGCCCTTCAGAGACAGAGAGAGGGGGGAGGCCGGGAGTTACTGGCAGGGCAGAGCAGACGCGGGCCGGCCCGGACGCCGCAGCCCTGTCCCTCGCTGTCTCTTTAAGAACCGGTGTCTCATCCTCTCCCCGTGTCGACATGAGGTATTGTTTTGGGATCGCTACCTGTTCAGCCCACACACTCACACACGCTCGCCCGGCCGCATAGCAGCGGAAAACAGAAATCACAGACCCCATTGAGCACTAATGATCCTGCCTTTCAACAGCACAATAATCTCCGCGCTGCGCCGACTGGCAAATGAGACTCCCATCTTCTAGGCAAAATCCAATTACGTCTGGACAATAGCCGCTGCATAAAAGCTTTGATACTGATTAGGACGTTTTGCCTTTATCACAGACCCACGTGCTTCCACTTTCCGCAGGTCCCTGTAGATGGATTTCCAGATTACCCAGTGGGCATCATGCACAACGTGAGCGCGAGCTAGCCACCCATCAGCGTTACACCACGCTCGCGTTTGCCTCTCCACGCGCTCTGCTCTAGTAAAAGGGTCTTTCAAATGCTTAGAACACGCAGCATCTAAGGCAGCCAAACCTACACTTTCTGGCAGGTTGGGTATTTTCCGGTGCAGGTGATCTAATTAAACAATAAGGAATGATGAATGCAGCACTCCGGTCCAGGCACAGAAAAGCAGAGGCAGCTGGGAACGCTCCGTGAAGTTGCCCCCCCCCACTACAGACAGCA